TGACCTTTTTTTTGGTAAAGGTTAAAGTGCTTTTGCAAGGCTAATACTAATAAGTTAAGAAAGAAAGCAGAAAGTTGCATCTTGCCTGGGCTGCCTCACTCCAAAAAGTAGGTACTAGTCTTTAAAAAATTGTTTGGTTGACTTAATTTTGGAGGATTGAAGTAATAAAATGCTGACAAATCATGCATGAAGTGTTGTCCCATGGCAGGTGTTAAAAGAGTATTTTAAGAATGATTTGGCTTTAAGAAAGTTATTCCTAAGAGGGACTGAGTTTAGAAAAACATCTAGGATTCCAGAAAAAGCAAACAAACAAACAACAAATCTCCTTTCACAGCATATAGGATAATTTTCCCTAAGGAACTAAAGTATTTTTTGCCCGTAGGGAGCTATTTTTAGGGAAGAAAAAAGCACATTAAAAAATAAAAAAAATTGATCTTTGCATTAAACCAGCATGATAGAACAAACCATTCTAATTAAAATCAACACAACTAAGGAGAGAGACAGAAGGAGAAAATGGCATATTATTTTTCCAAACAGGTATCACTTAGACAACTCCATTAGATAATGTGTATTTCATTTCCATGTTTGTCTAATCCTAAAACAACGTAGTTGAGACAAAAATATATTTTTCTAATACACACCTCAAAGTCTAGGAAGAGAAGTACTTTTGCATTCACCGAATTATTAGATGACCAGAAGATCTCAGGATTTACAGAGATCCTGTGTTGCTACTGTTTTACAAAAAGTGGTTGACCTTCCCATGGGCAAATCAGCTCTTTCCCAGATAGTGATGTCATCTGGGCTTGTGGCACTACAGGGGGTTTCCATCCCTCTGCCCCAAGATTGCACATAGTGGTGGGCCACGATGACATGACATGGGGGCAAAGCTATTTTACCTGGAGAAACCTTCCACATTTCTAGGGACCTCACCGTAAAGCAATCTCCTTTAGACACAGCACTTTGTTTCTGCAGAAGGTGTGGAATGTTTTGGGCCTGGGTCTTCTCCTTTATCCACCTGTGGAAGTTGAAAAGATGCTCCAGGTGCAAATAACAGGTTTTGGGCTGTCTAGAAGAGGTCACTTTGTGGTAGACTCGTTTCTACCATGCATCTGCCGGATCTCATAAAGTATGAGTCACCAATAATTCAGCTGTAAATTGCAGGCAATAAAGATAAACAAGCATCATGTGACAAAGGTTTAATATCAGACAATGAAATTAAGGGTAGAAATCAATTAGAGGTTAAATGGATGTAGATCTTTAATCAACATCCTGGGTACAACTTGTGATCTGTGGAAAGCTAAATATTGCAATAATGAACCGTTGCTGCCATCTACTGAACACAAGAATGATGTGCTACTCAGCCTTATAAATCGAGTGATCAAGTGTGAACTGTTTGCTCGGCTGGAATAAGTAAAATTTCTGTTTTATTAGAACAACCATGTTTCTTTCTAGAAGATGTTCAGGCCATGAATCTGCTTTACAGCCTATCTGTCCCCCTTTGGGGAACACTGAATTCTCCTTTGGAGAGTCACTCCTAGCCCATGGAGGAGCCTTGAATGGTGGGATTTGTAATGAGCATATGTAGCTCTCAAAATGTGAAACACATTGCTATTAATAAGAAAGAAATACTACTTAAGAGTTGCAGACTTTTAAAATCTTACCACACATTAGCTTTTCTTTAGTAACACCATGCAGGACTCCATCATCTTTGCTGAGGATAAATACCTGCCCTGTGGCAGCTGCAGGTTACAATGAAAGAGCTTCCAGTTGAAAAAGTGCTAGCACTGGCACTGAATTTCTACCAGGAGGTTGAAGGGTGGTACCAAGGTCAAGCAGGCTGCTGAGGAAGTTCTAGCCAGCAAGAGACACCCAAGCCCCACTACTTTGTTTTATCCAGGGACTGAACCTGTCCTTGAATGTTCCAGAAACTGCTGCTGGGTATAAACAGAGGCATTCAAACATACTCATACGTGTATGCAAGCACTACACTTTAAACTAAAAATAATTTTAAAATTGTACTAACACATTAAACAGCAACAAAGTCACTAAGTGCAAGAAGTACAGCACTAACATCTGGTTGCAACAAAAATTAAAAAATATGCATATCTTGCTTACCTATAAGGTACATTATACGTGGACACTCAAGGTCAAAATCAGCCCTGCTGGTAAATAAGACACTATTTTGTATTGACGTCAAGGGTGGTTGGACACATTTGCTTCCAAGATGTCTTTGGCCTGTTGAGGGTCACTAGAAGGCTGCGAAGAGCAGCGAGGAGCGGCAGGGGCCGCAGAGGCAGGGGCCCGGGGGGGGGGGAC